GGGTAGGGGCGTGCAGTTGAAACAACATGTACGGCAGGCATCGCTGTCCAGGCATCGGGGTGGCTCTGCAGCCTCATCAGACGGCACGTCATGTGAGGGTTGTGCACCAGGTCAGGCCATGGCAGCGCAGCGCCCGCATCTCACCCAAAGCCACCGGGCGCGTCCCCGACAGACGCCCTCCGCCCGGGCCGCAGAGCGCGCAGCTTGGGTGGCGCGTGCCCGTCCCACAGCACGCTGCCGCTGCGGGCGTCAGGGCTGCGGCCAAGCGCTCCACCCTCGGCGCCGCCCGACGCTTCGGCCGGCGCGAGCGCTGGTGCACCAGGCTCGAATGGCAGGGGCTGCTGCTGATGATGATGTTGCTGCTGATGTTGCTGTTGCTGCTGCGTTTCCAAAGGCCCATACACATTGAAAGGGTCCTGCCGCTGAGGAGGCAGTGAACCGTCCTGCAGCTGTTCTTGAGGCCATGGCAGGACCCCATACCGCTGCAGGACTGCCTGCCGGTTTGCGGCCCACCACGCCTCAGCCTCTTCCGCTGAAAACACCTGGGATGGCAGCAGTGGAGCGTTATCAAAGGGGGGGCGCAGTGAGCAGCGTAGCCGGGCGCAAAGTGCAGAACCATTCGAGAAGTGATGGATTAGCAAGCAGCAGCCAACCGCACCTGCTTGGCGAAGCGCACGCGGCGCAGCTCCAAGCCAGGCCTTCCGTCATCGGACTGCTGCAGCGACACAAAGACGCCGGGAGCAACCTCTTTTGTCGTGATACCGCCGGTGAATGCGGCTGCAAGAGTGGCAGGAGGTGCAGAACGTTGTGTGAAATTGCATGCATGCAACCCACTTGCTGGTGTGTGTGTGTGTGAGAGAGTGAGAGGGCGTGCACGCGCACGTGCACACGCACGCGTTCGTGTTGGGGGCATAAGCGTGTCGCACACAGTTCAGTGACAAACCAACTGCCACAAAAGCATGTGAGGTGGGGGGCAAATAGCCCAACTCTGGCAGGAGGGGAGTCGTCTTGAAGGGCACAACCACACTTGAAGTAACCGACTGGCATGATGCAGCAGACCCGCACCAATGTCAACAGACAGCGCCCGTCTGTGCCGTAGCCAAGTGGACGGCGGACCGCCTCGCGCTCTCAACCCGCCAGCAGCCAGGGGCCAGGGCGGCTGCGGTCTGGCCTGAGGCGCCTCGCTGTCACGTGGCGGCTGCTGCTGCTGCTCCTGCTGTTGGATGGCCTCACAAGACGCGTAGCTTGAGGGACTGCCTGCGTCCGCGTCGCTGCCGCCGCCGCTGTCAAGCCCAAAGTTTGCCTGCGGCTGCTGGCGAGACGCAATGCCACCGAACGCACCCTGTAAACTTGGGGCTGGCGGCGCGCCGCCAGGGCTGCCCGCAGCGCACCATATTGGGCTGCTGCTTCTCAACGGGGGCCGCAGATCCTGGAACCCAGGATCAGGAAGGTGGTGCTGCTGCTGCTGCTGCTGCTGCTGCTGCTGCTGCTGCTGCTGCTGCTGCTGCTGCTGCTGCGGTTGTAGCGGGCCTTCCACGGCCGTGCCCGAGGCGCTTCCTGCCGCCCACTGGACCAGCGACACATCCCTGAGCAGCACTGTGCCGCTTGCGGCACCACTGGCCTTTCCTAACGACGAACGCAAGCCGGTCCCTTGCCGTGGGCGCCACTGCTGCTGCTGCTGCTGCTGCTCCTGCTGCTGCTGCGCGTCCTCCACCCTCGCCGTCGAGGCGAGGGCGGTCCCAGGCGTGGGCAGCTCTGCCACGTCCGGGCCGGAGCCCAAGTAACGCCGCACGTCAGGCGAGAGAGGCGGGCTCGAGAGGCTGCCTGGGGAAGACACGACACCGGCCCCGGCAAAGGGGTCAAACACGTACGGAGGGCCGCTCGCAAGCCGCCTGATGTCATCGCCGGCGAGCGCCGCTGCAGCAGGCAGCGGTACGCCGCCAAAGCCAGCCGGGTCAGCCGGCAGCGGCGCCCCGCCGTCGCCCGCGCCGCGGTCGCGGCCGCCGGCGCCGCCTGCAGGATCGTCACGGCCGCGCTCAGGGCTGCAGCTAGGGACCGGGCTGGGGCTTGGGGTTTCCGGCAGCCTGAGCGGCGGAGCGGGCGGTGCGACGGGTAGCGCCTTGCCTGTGTCTGCCTTTGATTGTCGCTGCTGCTGCTGCTGCTGCTGCTGTGGCTGCTGCGGCTGCTGCTGCTGTGGCTGCTGCGGCTGCTCTGAGCAATGCTGCGGGCAGTCGAGCTGCCACTGCTGCGAGCCACGGTCAGCCGCAGCCGAGTGTACCCCTCCCGCAGCGCGCTGCAGCTGCGCCTGTAGAGCCTCCAGCTCCTGCTGCTTCCGCGCGAGCGCCGCCTCTGTCCGCACAGCACGGTCCCGCCAATATGCCGCACGCGCGGCCGGGCCGCCCTCTGACGGCGGGGCCGGATCGCCCAAAGGTGCCCCGAGCGCAGACCCCGTCGGGGTGGCGTCCCCCGCGCCCCCGCCGCCGTGCGCGCTGTAGCTGTAGCGCGGCGTCCGCGCGCCCGCGCTGGCGCTCGCGGTGCTGGCCAGGCTGCTGCCGCCGGAGACGCGAGACAGGTCCGGCTCGCTGCGCGGCGCCGACGACGTGAGGCTGCGGTACGACGCGCGCGGTCCGAGCAGCGCCGCCGCGCCCCTGCCGCCCAACCCCCCGCCGCCGCTGCCGCCGCCCGCGCCGGGCGCCCCGCCGCGGGGGCCCGCCGGGCTGCGGATGGCCCTGAACGGCGCCGCCAGGCGGCTGCGGGCGGCCAGGGCTGAGAGCTTCTGGAGGCTCAGGAGGCTGGGGTCCGCCGCCAAGGTGGAAGGCGAGGGGGCGCCGGCGCTGCCGCGGAGCTCCGAGGAGGAGCCGATCGACAGCGCCGCCGCGAACGCGCCGCCGCCGCCGCGCTCGCTCGCGGCGCGCGCGAGGCTGAAGGAGGGGCCGAGGGACAGCGCGCCGCTGCCGCCGGCCGCGAGGGACCCGCGCTCGCTGGGGCGCGCCGCGCCGAGGCTGCGCTCGCTGAGGTGGCGCGCGGCGAGGGCGCCGGCGCCAGCGCTTGCACTGGCGCCCGCGCCGCCGCCGCCGCCGCCGCGCTCGCGCTCCCGCGGTGCACCCCTGTCGCTGTGCCGGGAGGGAGCCGAAAGCTCCACCTGCCGCCCCCGGTCGCTTCGGCGCCCGATGCCGCCGCCGCCGCCGCCGCCGCCGCCGCCCTCCCCTCTTACAGAGGGAGGCCCGCTGCCCCCGCCGCCGGCGCCCAGGCTGCCGGCGCTCCCGCTCACCGCCAGGCCGGCGGCCCCGCCGCCGCCGGCCGCCAGCCCGGCCGCAAGCAGCTGCGAGCTCGAGAGCGGCGTGCGCGCCGCGCCCGAGGGGGGGAGGCCGCCACCAGCACCGCCGCCGCCGCCGCGGTCGGCGGGGACGCGGCCAGCGGCGAAGGGGGTCCCGAAAGACCTGAGGATTTCGTCCTCACTCTCACTGCGAGCGGGATATGGGTGGCAAACCACCGTGGGCTTGACACGCGGCAAGGCAGCTGCAGGGGCCGGCAAGGTCGCGGCCAGGCGGGTAACCGGGCGGCCGGGCTGCGGCTCAACGCAACAAGGCTCTTCCTGTGGCCCGCCACGCTGGGAGGCGTTCCGCTGGACCGTCCAACCCCATGAGTGCGTCAGGATGTTGGTGCTCCTACGCAAGCGCGCACGCACATCAACGCGGACGCGCCCACATGACAGAGCAAGAGCATGCAGCATCATATGGACGCACCCACAGAAACACGCACATCCAGCAAACACGCGCACACACACGCACAAGCATGTGCACACGCACACGCACACACACGCATGCGCGCACACACACACACACACACACACACACACACACACACACACACACGCACTCACGAGCACACACACACACACGCACACGCACACATGCACGCACGCACGCACGCGCGCGCCTACGCGCCCCCCTCCCCCACCTGGACCACCGTGCCGCAGCCTCCCGGGGGTCGTGCTCGCACACCGCCATGCTGAATGTCGCCCCCGCAGACAGGTGCAGCACGCGCCGCCCGTTGATGCCAGCCACAAACTGGGGCACGTTGCAGCCCTCCGGCGCCGCGCAGCCCAGCTGCCCGTGCGAGTTCACGCCCCACGCAACCAGCCGGAAGCACGTCCCGTCGGGCGCCCCGCCGCCGCCGGCGGCGCCGCCAAGCTCGCCGGGCGCGGGCGCGGGGACGCTGGAGGGCGCGCGGGAGGTGAAGGAGGGGCCGCCAGGCGGGGTCGCGCTGCCGGCTGAGGCCCGGGCGCCGCCGTTGGCGCCGCCGCGGCCGCGGAGGGTGCAGACGACCACCACGTGTGACTCCCCAGCTGCCGCCAGCTCAGCACGCATGCCTAGGGGGCGGCGGCGGGGTGGGGTG